TCTACGACGACGACGGAAAATCCGCAAATGCCGCTGACTTAAAAATGATCGATTTCGGTCACACGTATTGTATGGACGTCGACACCTGTGAGATGGAAGACGGCGTCCAGCAAGGAGTTATTACTATTAAAACTATATTGAAAGAAATTAAAGAAGAAATCGTTATAATATAATTCATAGAATTGTTCTTGTACTTTTACAAACTATAAAAATCGTTTCTAAAAACTATTTAATGGTTTTTTCAATAAAAATGTTGGAAAAAAGAAAAAAAAACAAAAAACAAAAAACAAAAAACTATAATTTACTATAAATTTACTATAAATTTATTATATTCAGGTCAGTTTTTATGGGAGCGGTAATTTTTTTTTTCTAAAAGTAAAATTCGTTTCATCAAAATAAACTAGAAAACTATTGTTTTTAATTTATTCAATAATATAATAATATAATAATATAATAATATAATAATATAATAATATAATAATATAATAATATAATAATATAATAATATAATAATATAATAATATAATAATATAATATAACAATAAAAAAAGAATATTTTCGGGAAACGTTCCTTCTTTTTTTTAATTATAGTTATTTTTATAATAATATTGTTATAATTAATAGTAATAATTATAATACTTTGGTAATAATATTGTATCGATTGATATTAAACAAATTTTTATTTTTAATTAAATGTAATATAAAAATTATTGGTTTATTTACTAGGAATATTAATACAACAATAATAGAAGGACAGATTTCCATATAAAGATAGCTTAAGCAACTGTACTAATTAACACTTTACATTGAAAATGATTTTATCATCTCAAAATATAATTCACAATAATCATTTATTTAATAGTTAATTAATTAAAATGTTATTAATAAAAAGTAACCACTAAATAGATAATAAATTACACCCCAAAAAGCAGTTTTGGCCGTCATAAATTGTATTTTTTGGGATATCCACACATTTCAATTCCGAACATTCTTCAAAGCAATTTTCTCCAATGACCTTGTCCTCTCCTTCAATGATGACATGTGACAACAAAACACACTCTTTAAAGCAACACTTTCCCAAAGAAGTCACTCCTTTGAGTATTTTTATAGACGTGAGAGAATAACACCCATTGAAGCACATCATTCCAATGGATTGTAAATCGTTTGGCAACTCGAACCGACTTAATGAATAACAAAATGCAAATGCGCTGTCTCCAAAGGATTTTAATGTGTTTGGGAGACCAATTGCAGTCAGTGAACGACAATTTTGAAAACAGAAATTGGGAATTTCATTCACGGAATTTGGCACTGTAATTGTTCTCAGTGACTCACATAATTTGAAACAATATTTCCCTATTCTTTGCAGTGTTGGTGGTAATTCAATCACTTTAAGCGATCGACATCCATCAAACGTGTGGCTCTTGAGCTTTTCCAGTGCATTAGAAAGCTCTATTCGAGTGAGACTGTCACACTTATAACAACTGAATTTCCCAAGATATGTCACCGAATTTGGAATCAACAAGGTTTTGAGTGATATGCACTCACTGAAACAATAGTCGTCCACTCGTTGCACCGAATTTGAAATTTGTATGTTACTTAAAACAAGACAATTTGAATATGAAAATCTTCCCAGTGCCTCTGTGCAATTTCCTATAACTACACTTTTCAATTTGTTGCAGCTTCTAAAGCAGAATTCACAAATTTGAGTCACACTATTTTGTACCTGAAAATTGACAAATTTGTCAGAACTGAAAATGTTATTAATTTTAAGTTCTTTTGTTTCATTTGAAATAAGTTTGAGACGGAGGGCGTCACATCCAAAGAAACAGTTTTCTCCAAAGTACTCAACTTTTCCTTTATAAGTCACACTTGATAAGGACGAACATCCAAAGAAAGTTGAATCTTCTATTTTTGTGACACCTTTTGGGACTTCAATGGACTGCAGTGCCGCACAATACTGAAAAGCACCTTTTCCAATTTCAACCAAATTTTGAGACATTTTAATGTCGACGAGGGAAGTACACTCTTCAAAGCAACAATCACAGATTTTTGTGAGTGTGTTTGGCATGACAAGTGACGTCAAAAAAGAACACTCAAGGAAACACTCCTCTCCAAATTTTGTGATAAACAGTTGTGAGTGAAAATTGTTTGTGATGTCTTTGTAACACAATTTGTCATTTTGTGTGAAGGTCACATTTGCAAGTGTAATTTGACTACTCATGTTGGAAAGTGCCGTTTGATAATCTACATCATACCACAAAATAGTGTGCTCAAATTGTATGACTTCATCTTCTTCTTCTGATGTCGATTTGATGAAATAAAACTCGTCATTTTCGCTCCACAGATTGAGTGTGTTGATATGTGAAAAGTGTTGAATAATACTTTGTGACAAAGGAATAGGGTTAGATGTATGTTTTAATAAAATGTCTTCATACTTCTTTGCAACTAAAACAAGTGCTACATAGTCTGAAAAGTTTTCAAAGTACTTTGAGATGACAAACACCTCTTCACGGTTAAGATGTGACATAATAATAACTACAGTTCCAACAAAAATGGATTCTATCTATAAATAAGTTAGTTGTTCGTTTTTAATAAAAATTCCATTTTAAATGGGAACAAAGAGCTTTAAATTACATTAACTTTTTTAGGTTGTTATCAACAAATTATTATTAATAAATGTATTATATTTATAGTTAAATATACTTTGTTTTATAATACATTTATTTAGATACAACTTAAAATCCTTTTTGTTCCTGACAAATCGAATTTTTTAAAATAACAATTATTTATAAATACAATTACTAATGGATACTAACAACACATAATTTATATACAATTTATTTATAATAGATTGATGCTAACAAAATTGTCTTGAATAAACTATATTTTCATAACAAAAATAGTTATTGATTTATTATTAAATAGTAATATGAGTAATTTGTTTTTTTCAATTTGTGGCACTTGTTATTACAGTGAATATTCGATAAGAGGGCTATTCGATATAAGGATTTATTCGATAAGAGACCAAAAAATAAGAGGGAGGTTTCTTATCGAATATTGAAAAAAAAAATCAAAAAACAACAACTTCTTTTTTTGCTATTTTTTAATATTTTTTTTGTCCAAAACCTTAAGATGGTAATACATAAACCAAATTGTCATTAAGTTGAAAAAAAATCAAAATATTTTAAAAAATTATTATAAAAGCAAATGAGTTTTTCATCTAAAACCGAAATAATGTTTATTAACGTGTCGTTGGAGCGTGTTAAATTATGACAAAACAACGCATGTTCATTTTTAAACCAAGAGTTGTCATATTGCTTTTCATGTGTTCAGTTTAAATACTGTTTATGTTGTTGTCAATATTTTGATTCTATAACGGACGTTTTGTGTATTAATAAACACTAATAAAATAAAGCATTTGTTTTTCATATTATAAATCACAAAAATTTTATAAAAAAAGGCAAAAATATTTTTTGGGTGAAAATATAATTTGGAATTTTGTTGAGACAAAAAACAAAATGTGGTATTTTTTGTTAATTATTCAAGTTTTTATTATTTGACCTTATATCGAATAAGACTGGAACATAGACTGGACTATTATCGAATACAGTAAAACCTCCCAAGAGCGGGAGATGTGGCAATTTTGTTCTCTCAAGAGCGGGCATTTTTAGCCAATCAAACCTCAATTATAACTCTATAGAGAACTCTATTTTTAGTTTTAGTCTAAAAATGCCTGCTCTTGGGAGAACCCACTCTTCAGAGGTACCACTCTTGGGAGGTTTAACTGTATTTCGACAAATACAAAATAAAATCAAATAATTATTTTGTGTTATGTTATTATATTTCAAAAATATTTCTATTTTTATAAGTTTTCATACCCAATTACAAAAAGCTATTATTATATGTTTAATTTAAAATATATGTTTCATAATAAGGTGACACAATTTGATTGATTGTTATTTATATACTTTTTGATAAATTATTACAAGATTGTTGTTTCTTTGTGTATATAAACGAAAATCACAATACTAACTTAAATTGGTAACAAAAATACAGTAAAGATCTTTCGAAATAAATGAAATCAATCATAAAACATTATTTTCTATTATTAACTTTATTATATTTTTATTTTTATTTGTATTTGAATTTGAGATATTTTAGTTTAGACAACATAATTTGAATTAAAAAAATACTTTTATGTATAATTAGCTTGAACATCATAAAATAAATTAACAATTCTTGTTTAAAATTGGTTAATAAATTATGATCCAAAATATAATTATTTTTTGTATCGAAAGAAAAAATAATTCGTTTTTTTCGTTATTCATATTAAAAAAAGATATTTAAACTCAATTGTGAATGATTAAATATCAAATTCTAATGTATTGTTTATCGGTCTTCTTTGTTATTGAATTTTCTCTTGCAGATGACGCATTGAAAGTAAATTATACAAAAGCGAATTTTACATTAGCAACAATTCTTATTTGGGGAATAGTATATGCAGTTTTGGTTATATTATCTGCTCTAATTGTTTCTGTTATAATAATTAGAAAATGGCTGATTAATCGAAAAGGAAAAAAAGAAGTGAAATTTGATGTCAAAGAATTCTTTTTGGAGAAATTTAAGAATACAAGTACTCAAAATTAAATAATAACTTTTCTTTATTTTTTGTTACAATATCTTTTGATACAATGTTTTGTGTAAATACTAAAACAATTTTAAATAATTTATATTTTAATTTTATATATAATATTAACAATTTTGTTTAAATATTATGATGTTTAATTATTAAAAATGACTTTGAACATCCATCAAAATACTTGAGCTGGCAATATTAAATCGAAGTCATAGACACGCATAAAATAATTTAAAATTGGTAACAAATTAATTGAAATGCAAGTAAAAATAATTAAAAATATAATTAATAATTAATTGGTGTTGGTGGAAAAAAGTCTATCACAAGTCCAAACTGTTCTTATTTAACAAGTCTATTTGTTGTTAGATTCCAAACTATAACTCCCAGATTTTATAATCCTTTTTATTTAAATAAACAAACTTTAAATCTTTGAAACCTACTCTACTAGTGGTGCTTTTTCATACACAAAATATGATGCTGTATCTTCTTTTTCGTGATCACTAATTTGTACCCAATATAATGCTGGAATAGATTCAAGTAATACTGGAACATTGTCTTGTAAATCATGTAATGTGGGTCTTATTCTAATAAAGGGGCAATTACTTGCACTATGTGAACTACTGGGTATTATTCACAATCTTCTGGCAGTGCAAAATGCTCAAATGTACTACCAGAACGCGTTCTAAATACCCAATGATATCAAAAAATGTTTAAAGTGAAGTCGAGGAACGTATTGAGCAGTGGACGTGCTATTTGTTATAATTGTACAGCAGGAACTTTTGCACATGAGAAAGGAAGTTAAGTGTGTAAAAAGTGTATTGATGGATTTTATTCCACGGCTGAAAGTTTGACTTGTATTCAATCCGTTTTCACAAATAGTAGAGTTTGTTCAAAAAAGACGGGGATATTCATACGATTCATCGAATAAGAACTGTTCGATATGTCCCGTATTGTATTATTTGGGTGGTGGAACTTCGTTGTGTTTAAAGTGTGCTTCTGGGTATTACTCACTTAGTGGTGCTTGTGGGTGTACAAAGTGTTCCACAAGTTGTAAAACGTGTGACCAAACAAATGGAAATTGTTTAGAGTATCATGAAAAATCATCGTGATGTGAAATGTTTTTTCATGTCGAAGTGAACGTTAATACTGTGAATTGTTATTGGGCCAAAATAATGATTTTAAGGGTTTTAAAACATTTTGGTTTTTTTTGTTATTCGAGGCTGTTAAAACAAAAAACAACAATTTTTTCTACAAAATCTTTTGAGGCTAGGTCGACAGATTGTAGGAAAAATGGCGTTTTTATATACTTTTTATGAGGGAGTAGTATATAAATTATGTGGATTTAGGGGGCACCCCATTTTATCTATATTTTATAATACTTTAATTAAATCGCGAGGTACGCGAATCTGAATTTTTCCAAATTTCGGAAATATAGTACCGAGTTTATTTTTAAATTATTTTTCTTAATATTTATTTTTTTAAAATGAGCACAACACAAGAATACAGATTAAATAATTTTTATCAATTTACTAATAACTATTCCGAAGAAGATATTTTAAATTGTTTCACAATTTATCAGGAACTATTAAATCAGCATCTACTAAAATTAATAACAAAGAATGTAGAAAAGAATGAATTGCTATGGGTATTAACACAAGAGATTTATATTTACATTATAAAGCAAAATTAGAAGTTCAATTGGGAGCTTAAACTACTCTTTGCGAACTACATCTTTGCTACTATTGGAGACATGGTCTCCGGCTACTCCCTTATATTCTTAGGATCCTTTTAGGATCTGTATTCTTGGTTAAACCTATTTTTGGATTTAGGATAAAATATTATTTTAAAAATATATTTTAATTTTTGGATCAGGATGTCGGAATGAATGTGGAAAAGAATTGATAAGGGTCTTTCTTAAATACGAATGGGAAGGAGACTCGAATATTGCAAACATGATAAGATACACACAAGACAAGCCAGACAACATTGTCAAAAGAGCTCTAAAATGTCTAAACAAAATAATCAATCCAGATGAGCTGAATGAAATTATCATCAAGGAAAGTGAGCAAGGAAGATCAATGAAAGTAGTGCTCGACTGGATTGATGAAAAAATAAACACACATTATCTTACAATGTGGGAGAATAAAAAAACATCAAAAGTCTTACCAAGGATGTTGAAACACCAAATGTGCAACAAAGAAGCATCAACAAAAGCATGGAGGACACTCAATATTAAAAACAACGCTTTCATCCAAATAATAAAGATGCAAGAAGGAGCAACTTACGTTGGAACAAGAAAAGCAATAATCACAAAAAATAAAAAGGATGAACAATGCTACTGCTGTAAAACAACAAAAGCAAACATTCCTCATATCCTCTTATGCTGCCCCATGACAAAAAAAGCACAAATTGACAGACACAACCATGTATGCAACATTATTCATATGGCTTTGTTAAAAAAATTGAAACTTATCAAAGATGAATTAAACTTAACCCACCCACCAAAGATGATAGAAGACACCGAGAAAAAAAACGGTGATGTCGGAGAAAAATATGTTATGTGATGATAGAGCGTCTTTTGCGCGCAGACCTGATATTTATTGGCAAGACAATTCAGCAAAGAAAGGTTACATCATTGATGTTACTATTGTAAAAGACCAGAATATTTCAACAGCTTATTTTAAGAAAGTTGCAAAATATTCAGTGTTATGTGAAAAATTGAGAAACGAAAGAAATTTAACAAATGTGATAACAATTCCTATCGTCATCACAATAAGCGGATGAATAAACAGACTCTCAACAGAAAGAATTGAAAAGGTGCTGAAACTGAAAATAGACTATAAAAACGTGATAAGATATGTTGTAATAAACAGTATGAAGGAACTAATGAATTATATGAACCAAGGCCGTGCTTCTTTTGAACTGGAAGATTTAAAAGAACACAAAGAAAACTCTGACGATGTTTCGGAAGAGGGCAAAGAGATGGTTGATGAAGACGACTCCTCTTTGTCATGAAATCCCGAGAAATTCATTTAGAAAGGAAATACATAATTGAATTCTTCTGGTCTATTTAAATTTTTGGATCTTCTATAGATAAATTAAATCTTTGTAAATAATTATTTAGTACTGGTTCTGCTTTCGTGTCTATATAATTTGTAATCTTTTTTAAAGTATTTAGAAGAACATCTTGTTTATTTTTAAGAATATCTATTTCCTCCTTTTATTCTCTATTTCTGTGTTAACGGTTTTTATATTGTCGATACTATCCTCTTTCTCTATTTCTTCCATCTCTTTCTTATGTTTTTCGATAACTTCGTTATAATGTTTATTAGATATTCTTGTTCTCTTTTTAAATAATTGTTGTTTACCTTTATCTTTACAAAACACATATCCTTTTATAAATATATTTGCATTTAGATCTTTTGTTTCTATTTTATTAACTTCTGGATTATTATAAATATATCTATTAATTTCTTTATTACATCGTTTTAATTCTTCGTTATCTTTAAGATTGTACTTATTTACTATACCTTGTAAGAACGGTAT